TATAATTTTTAAGACCATAATTCTGAAATATTATATTTATAATTATTATACCCTCTGCAAGGGTATAAAAAGATGCGGAGCCATTTAGTGTTAAAAACAATTATCTGACAGAACTGACCTTGTTTAACTTAAATTCTGAATAACTGCTGCAAAATTTGTGGAGTTTTTAACATTTTCAAATAGTGATTAAATCATAGTTCAAAAAAGTCTAGAAGGCGTTAAGGTATTTATCTGATTGGGCTGACGTTCTTTGATTTTCTTAATAACTTTTGAAATAATTATTTTACTCGTATTATTCAAATAAATTTAACCGGACAATAATGTTTCGCAAGGGGGAAAAAAATGGTACATTCAAATATTTTATTGTATTATATCATTTTACTATGCCGTTTTTCTCTGGGTTTATTATTTTTCTACTAGTTCTATGCTTTTTCTAGCGATAAGAGTCGTAGTTTTAATACTATTACAGACTAGGGATCCGAAATTTTTAAAAGTCCTTATATAAGGCAAACAAAAAGGAGATATAGGCATAATTCTTAGAAAACAACGAAATTTTTTTAAATTTTACTGTTGTTTCTATGACAGCTATAGGATATAGTCTTCCGATCGGCAAGATTTTTAAGCATGATCGGTTTCAGTGATTCAAGAATCTATACTTTACACTGCGCCAATAACCAGCATAGAACTGTAAGCTATAGGATATAGACAACCGATTTTGATCAAATATCCAGGTATAGGTCCTAAATACTATTAAAACATATTATAGAGCTTGAATCAGCTATTTATACTAAAACTTAATAAAAAACAGCGAGTTCTGACATTTAGACCTGATTGTTCCAATGGCAGCTGAATGATATAGACGTCCTATCTCGGCCGTTTTCATACTGGATCTGCGTACACAAAAAAAAATACGATTGCGAAAGTTTCAAATCTATAGCTTTTAAACTAATCTCGAAATCGTCATAGAAACAGACGGACGTGGCTATACCAACTCGACTAGTTATGCTGGTCAATAATATATATATATATATATATATATATACGTTATTGGGTCGCAAATGTGCGTCACAAACTTCTAACCAATTTTATAATACCCTCTGCAAGGAAAGTTAACAAAAGGCATGAGGAAGCCGCCGCATATACATACATACATACTACAGTGCACCATTTAAATACAAAATAGATTAAACAGTTTTCAATTGCAAAAGAATGGTTTCATTTTATTGATCATAAAAATATTGAGTTTTAAATAAAAATACATACATTGCTTTATTTGATTGGTATGTTTTTTGAATTATAAAAGCTATGTCAAATGTGTAAATTTATTTTATACGTCTTCCTTTATATATTCTTATGTTATATTTTTTTTTAATCTTATGCAAAGGCCATAGAAATTTTGTAGACACAATTCGCAGACTGCCAAGAAACACAAGCAACGGAAAATAATTAAAAATTGACTCTACATCAAGCACTTCTGAGAGCTGTGAAAATGGTATTTACGATATCGACTGGTGGGCTTCTGGGTTTTTTATTAAAAAATACAGATATTATTTCAAACTGGAATGTGATTTCAAGAAAAATGGCAGCGTTTGTTCGTTACACAACTCTTACGAAATGTTCTCTATAAATTGTATTGAATAATTGCTAAACAATTACTTTAACACTCTCGCTTTTGTTTATTTATGAAAATTTGTCTTGGAATGCTTAGGCGAAGAAGTGTAATGCTAAAAATAATTTGTAAATTGGACGTCGAAATGCTTTCAGACTCCATATTTTTTAGTTTTTTTTTTTTTTTTTTTTGTAGATCGCAGGCTGCATTTGTTGTTCTGGCGGCTGTAGTTGCTGTTCTTTTTCCGCATGGATTGGGTTTAAGTTCCCTTAGTAGTTGTTGAGATCGGCGTACTCCAGTTCCTGAGCAATAGTTTTGTACTTTTCCTTACCTTTGCTCACCTCGTCTGCAGCGGTGAAGTGAACGAAATAAAGATGACAAATGTATCAGGAATTATATTTTTAAGTTGATTGCTTTATTGCTTAGTTTGGATACAAATAATAAATAAAAACGTTTGAGTCAAACAAATACACAATTGTTTCGATGCTTCCTCTTATTGGTCCGCAGTCAAAATCAATCTACAAACTACCGATCTACAACACACAAATCAAAAGTAAAGGCTACAAAATACGAGAACAGTGCGCCTACGATTATGCTACAGTAAAAACAATCGAAAGGTGTGCCGCGCAAATCGAGGTGTGGATCGATTTCGGTCTGAGGTCGAGGGGCCGTCAAGGTCGGTTCGCTTATTCCTTGAGGATGAGCTCGACGAAGGCAGTGTCGAGATCGTCTCCAATATCCTTGTAGCGCTCCTTCTCCAGGACCAGGTCGTCTGTTCAAGGTAGTGTTTGAAAAATCATAAAAGAACGCAAGAGTAAGGAACAGAAATTAATAAAAATGTATACAAAATTATTAAAATTACAATTAAAACCTGACACAAACTAAGACCTTCACACTTAGACATAAAAACTCGACAGAAATGAATAATAATTACCTCGTTTTGGGCAAAATAAACAGAAAAAGCCAGCAGTTGAGTTTGCAAAATCGGCAAGGTTGTGCTAGCTGTTAATATTAATAGAAATAAAAAGATAACAGGAACAACGAAAAAAATAAAGCAGCATTTGGTTTTTGCAATGCTTTGTTTAACTGAACTTTTAATTCAATTTCGAAATGTTATTTCTAAAAAATAAAACTCGTTAAAAGTGTTCTTAATTAGGGTTTTAAAAGCAGGGCAGCATATGGTAGCAGATGTTTTTTTCTTTCGATGTTGTGCAGCAGTTTCAGGAGGGGATTGGCTGGACTTGGCTTAAGCAGGTGGTGCCTCTCCTTCGGCAGCAGCAGGAGCCGCTTCTGCGGGGGCAGCTTCTGGAGCAGGTGCTGCTTCGGCGGGAGCAGCCTCTGGAGCAGGTGCCGCTTCAGCCGGAGCAGCTTCACCCTCGGCAGCAGGAGCAGCTGCCTCAGCGGGAGGTGCAGCCCCTTCAGCCGGAGGAGCAGCTCCCTCAGCAGGAGCAGGAGCAGCACCCTCAGCAGGAGCTGGTGCAGCACCCTCAGCTGGAGGAGCAGCTCCTTCAGCAGCTGGAGGTGCAGCTCCTTCTGCAGCCGGAGCAGCCTCCCCCTCAGCAGCGGGCACTGGCTCGGGCTCGGATCCGGGTGGTGGTGGCTCGTAGTTCTTGACAAATGGCACCTCGGCACCCTCTGGGGGCAGGTCGATCGAGTACTCGAATGGCGGCGGTGGTGGTGGTGGCGGAGTGGGCTCCTTGGGTGGCGGCGTGGGCTCCTTTTCCGGTGCCTTCGCCTCTCCGGGCGCTGCGCCCTCACCCTCTGCTCCGGGCTCGCCTCCTGCGGCTGCTGCCGCTTCAGCTTCGGCCGCTGCGGCCGCTTCCGCTGCAGCTCGAGCCTCCTCCAAGGCGGCCAGCTCCTCGGGCGTGGGCGTGGGCAGCTTGGGCGTGGGTGGTTTGGGGTTGCGCGGATTCCAGAAGGGCTCCAGACCACTAATCTGGCCCATTAGGGCTTCGTCCAGGCTGTCGCTAACCAGGCAATAGCGCTCTTTTTCGACAATTAGATCGTCTGGTGATCGCGATCAGGGTCGGTATGCGAAGATGTTTGTGAGAAAAGCAATTCAAGCGATGGAGATGGGGGATAGAGCATAAAGATAAATAAAATAGGGCGTGAAGAGGAAATAGAAGCATTAACTAAAAATTAAACTTCAATAAGCTTTGGGAGGGAAACAGGAGGAGTAGATGATGGAATGGATCAAACGAAGAGGGGGGTTCAAACCCTAAACACCAATATAACATACTTGTAAAACAACAGAACAAATTTCAAATTATATACATTTTTTCTTATATACAGTTTGGATTTGATATATTATCTTGGGAGTTTAGGGCTTGAATAGTTAGTGAAAGGAAAACACTTGGGCCAGTTCTTGAACGCCGAGATCCTTCTACAGATCCTTTGATCTATTTTCACTAATCGCAATTAAACATTTTCAGGGTTTCTAGGCAGGAGGCGCTTCAGCGGCGGGAGCGGCTTCGGTTGCTGGTGCTTCAGCGGCTGGTGCAGCTGGTGGAGCTTCGCCCTCAGCTGGTGCTGGTGCTGGAGCGGCTGCGGCATCTGCTGGTGGAGCAGCCTCTCCCTCAGCCGGTGCTGGTGGAGCTGCGCCGGCTTCACCTTCTGCAGCGGGAGCTGCTGGAGGGGCAGCTTCACCTCCCTCCACAGGAGCAGCTGCTGGTGCTCCCTCAGCTGCTGGTGCTCCCTCAGCTGGCGGTGCTCCCTCTGCTGGTGCAGCTCCCTCAGCAGGAGCCGCCTCTGGAGGAGGCGCGAAGTCACCCGGCTCGGCGTTCCTCACGTACGGCACCTCGGCACCCTCTGGGGGCAGATCGATGGAATACTCGAATGGTGGTGGAGGTGGGGGCGTCGGAATCCTGACGGGCTCGGCCGGGGCCGCCTCAACGACTTCAACAGTTGCTCCTGGCTCGCCGGGAGCAGCGCCTTCCGCGGGCACACCGCCCTCGCCCTGTGCTGCGGCCTCCTCTCCGAGGGCAGCCAGCTCCTCGGCCCTGGCCTTAGCCTCGGCTTCGGCCAAGGCAGCGGCCTCCAGGGCGGCCTTCTCCTCCTCGGTTAGCTCCGGAGTGGGTGGCTTCGGGTAGCGTTCGTTGTAGAAGGGCGGCATGCCCATCATCTCCACAAAAGTCCAGTCCAGCTGGTCGCCGATGAGGGCGTAGTGCTCTATCTCTTTGATCATCTCGTCTGGCATGGCGGATGGGTGTGGTTTGATGGTTGGTGTTGGTGTTGGTGGTTCAAGGGGTTAGAAAGTCGAATTAGAGCAGATTCGAGAGAGAGATAGAGAGAGCAGGGCGATAGAACCTCCAGTGATGGCCAATGTGGGTGGTGGGGCGCACAGAGTCGGGGGCAAAACACTAAACGCTGGACGATCGGTGGGCAGGGCATATGTTTTTCGAAAAAATACTTTATTTGTGCAATTGCAGCAGCATGGTATGTATTGTATAGTATATGTATTGTATAGGTATATATTAAAATATAAATAATTAATTTATGTAAATCGTAAATAGATCAAATTAGAATTTTTAATGCCCTTCTTGTTGCAGCATTCTTCTCATTTGGGGATGTTACTGTTTTCAAAATCAGAAGATTGGTTAGTATAGGGAAATTGGTTTTCGTTTTATTTTTCAAATAAAAGTTGTCGGAATCGGTAACCGGGTACCGGTGATCGATTTGCAATTGGAATGATGTGCACTAGCTAGTTGTCTTTTGTCTTTGTTTTGGAATCTCTATCGAAAGAGTAGTAGTAGTACGTGTAGTAGTTTGGTAGGCGTGGCGGCAACTTAAAAGTAGGCAAATATTACACAACGTTTTGCAAACACGACAATTTGTTTAAATATGTATGTATAAACAAGGTAAACATTAGCATATTATTAATACAGTTAAGCTGGCGACAAAATACAAAGTTTTAGCATAGAATTTACTCTTTAAATATAAATAACAGCGATTGTTTGTCTCTCTATTTTAATACACGTAAACTAAGAAGAAGGCGGCAATGCGTGTGTTGTTCAAGTTGTCATCTCGTCAAATACAAAAGTACAAGAATACTTTTAAGTTTAAGATTTAAATTAAAACAAAACAAGGTAAGGGGTAGCAAAAGCAAGTGTAAAATCAAAGTATAAGGTATAATTAAAATTTTGATTTAACGACATTGTATTGCAATTATTGCAGTGTTGTAAAATGGCGATAGCTGCCGGTAAACCATTCGAATTTTGCGAATTGAAATCGATACATCGAAATGGAAATTGTAAATTGGAATGCGTTTGCTACGAGAATGTTTTGCTTTAGGTTCGGTTCTGCCCTTCCATCTGCTTTTCATTGAGTTTATGTTTATGTTTAGTGTGTGTTTAACGCTATTTTTGATTAACTCTCCCGTTGCTTAGCGTTCAAAGATGGCTTTCGCATCCGCATGGAAGACACTTGGCGTCCTTGGATTGTCTCGTGTGGGTGGTGGGCGTGGCGTGGGTGTGGAGATGTGTTCTCTAGTATTTAAATATGGAAAGCGCCAGTTTGTGTGCGTGGGGTTTTGTTTGACGTCAAAGCAGGCAGTTTAGTTAATTTACATAAGCAAATTAGATGTTTACATGTTCTGTATGTCATGTAAGGTGGCCTCCATTTCCTCCTGCAACAGTTTGTTCTTGCCCCGCACGTTGAGCAGGTCATCTGGGATTTTTGGTCATTTTTTGTTTTTCGGTGGGGCAGGGCAGGGCATGCAACAAATGGTTTAGCAAGCAGCGCAAGTTGTATTTTGTTAAGCACAATAACAACAATAACAACAAAATTATATATGAAAAGTAAACAATAAGAAAATCAAATTAAAAAATATGGCATAAACAGATAAGATAATAAACAAAATTCGAGGTACATCAATTTCACTAAATAACAATTGGTACTGGATTTGGAATAAGGAAATCAATTTTGATCCTACTTATATAAAAATAGTTTATAAATTCATAATAAACCACAATAAAAAAAAACGTTCAGTTAACTAAATGTTCTAGTACTTTAATTTGAAATATTGCTACGCAGATTTCAGAAATTAAAAATTTCTGTGGCTAGTTATCCTACATTCTCAGTAAAATTTGAATAAAATCTTTGTCGGACATACCTTCGAGCCTGTCGACTTCCTTCTGCAACTTCTGAACGGAACGTTCAGCGAACTCAGCACGAGCCTCAGCCTTTTGATTGATTGGAAGAGGTAAAAAAGGTAAAAAGTTTATGTTAGTAAAATATTAAATATATTCTAAACAGTAAGCAGCAAAAAGTGGCTACCACTGCAGACGAGAGTTAAAGAAAAACAGATGCATTTCTTCATCTCACTGCGAAATTTAAATTCTGGGTGGCGAAATTGTTCGGTTTTTGTTAAATCCTCCACTCAGAATTTAAATTCAACCATTTCACTAAGCTAAGAAGCTTCCCAAATATGCTACCAGAACCAGCAGAAAAACTTATTAAATAAAATGTACGTGTAAAATGAAGATTATTTAATAACGATGACAAATGAAACTAGTTAATAAAAGAATATGGTACAGATTAACGAAACATTCAAATAAACAACTTAGAAACTAGTTCGGTTTTTTATTAAACTAGAATGCTTACAAACTGCTGACGCTTGTGTATTTAGGGTTTTTAGACAAAACCTAAATCAGACAAATTAAATGTCATTAAGGGAATGATAAGAGCAACGATTACTGGTGGAGGCTACGCAGTCACTGCATAAAACAGAAAATGCTGTTAAGATCGTAATTCGACGGATTCTATAATCTCTACGCCCATTTATCTGTGGCGACTTACAGCTTCTACATTTAATTTGAACTGTATGAGCTCCTGTTCGTAATATTTGTGATTGACGCGTGCCTAGACGTCGAGGAAAATACAACAAATTATAATTTATGGCAATAGATCAATTTCACGTACATTGGGTGGCTGTGTGTGCGTGTGTGTGTTGTTGCATGGGTGTGAGTTTTGGGGGTTTATAAAATATCTACCGAAATAATTATCTCTTTGAATTAATTTCGATGGTCTACTTGGCGAGAATTAATTCCTTCGCCACTAATCAGGCATTAGCTTTAGGAATAGTAAATTATAATTGTAAACTCTGCAGTTTGAATTGGTTTTACTGTTTTTTCTCACTTGCAATCAATGCACAAAAAGTTGTTTTCAATTTTGAACAAATGTACACACACACGTCTTATGCGAGAGAATGGTTCACAAATACTTGCCCATGATGTACGCTCTATAACGATATCGATCTATTGATCTAAAACTCATAACTTGTGGTATTCCTTTACGATTGCTGTATTTTCACAAAGCGTTTTTGTTTTACATAAAAGAAAATATTAAATGTCGAATCGACGAATATGTACAGTAAATTTAAAATTGAGAATAACGATTTGTGCAATTCAATATTTTCTTTTTTGTTTGGTTATTTAGTGCTTAAACTATGTTAGCTTAACGGAGATCGAAGATTAGCAGCAGATTAACCAACACCAGAATTGAGAATTGCCGAGACCACAGCTTATACTTATGATAAAGTTTGACTCTGTCGTAATACCTCTTTCAGAGAATGATCCAACACTTTGATTTGCGTCTCAAAGGTTTCCTCTTTTTGTGTGGCCTGCGGGCGGTTTTGGTGTTCAGTGTTGGCAAGCGGTTGGGTTTTTGTTATAAGCATTATTGAACATAATTTGTAAGGTTTTCATGCAAAAACAAATCAGTTTGTGTAGGTGGCAAACATCCAGCAGGTACGCAAATAAGAATTGGATTTATGGCATTTTTTTTTTAGGCGTCAACATTTAAATAAACAATATATGAAAATAAGAAAGAAATAAAAAGTATAAATTAGTGCAAATTTCAAAAATGTTTTGCTTGATCTGTAAACGAATATCATGTCGGTAGACATTTTAAAGGAATTAGTGCGAAAACATTTGAAGAGAGGGGGAATTGTCTCGAATAACCCTTCATTTTGGGTATTAGGTTAAACAAACAAAACGAGAAACAACAACAAAAGATATGTATATATTCGCTGGTTTGACACTCGGTTGGCATGGATTTTGAGCTGGGAAGCTCTCTTTGCTTTTGGACCACTTTTTGGTACGACGTTTGACATTTTTTCGTATCTACCTCCTTTAGACGAGTGTTCAGGGTCTTGATTTGGTTCTTGTACTCCTCCTCACGTTGGTTGGCCTATATTTATCGTTGTTGTTTGTTCATTTCGTGGGTAAGTTTAGGGTTCAGGAATAGGGAATTCAATATAAATATAAATGTTTAAGAATGGCTTTGATTGAAATCGTTTATCAAATATGGCTCCAATGGAGTATATAGTTAGTCATCCTATAAAGATACTGACCTTCTCCTCAGAGACTTCAAGGGACTTCAGGTTGTTACCAACCACGCGCAGCTCCTCCTCAAGCTCCACAATTTTGCTGTTGGCACGGAGAGAAAATGACAGAAAAGAGTTGATAATTAAATAGTTGCCCAATAGACAGGCTGGGAATGAAGAAGAATAGCACAACTCATGCAGTTGTTAAATATAAAGGTTTCTTTCAAGCGCAATTTATGCCCGAGCAATACCAAAAACGGTTGACCAACTCCAAGTTGACAACACTTCACTTTCAAAAAAGATCTTGTGACTGCTGCCAATGGAGGCGATGAGTTAAGTTGAGTTGGCCAAGAGACGAGAAACCGTCAAATCATGATGCGAAGGTCTGGCAAATATTTTTGTAATAATAACAATTGTTTTTGGACCGGCAACTCAAAAGATTTCACTTTTTCTGACCCGTCCTGAGGCATTTGTACAGCTTTTTGGTTATTTATAACTATGGAAATTATAAATAAATATTTGTGTATCTCGGGCTTAAGTTGCGCTCACAAAGAAACGAACGTGGATTATATTTAACCAAATGCAGTTAGTAGACAAAAAGACATCGTATGGAAGGCTGATGGGGGCTTGGCAGTGGACAAACCTTTCGCTGAGCTCGACCTTCTCCTCGGAACGCTCCAGATCCTGTTCCATGAGCACGAGTTTTCTGGCAACCTTTTTTGGCAGGGCAGGAGGCGTGGCATGGCGGGGGCGTGGCAAGGTGTTAGCATTGTGTTAAGTACACACATTTTTTTTTTGTTTGGCATGGGTTATGGATGGCATAGAAAAAAGGTTTTCATGATTAGTTTCGTGTCTGGCTAAAGCTGCAGATTGGCAAAAAATGTGAATACTGTGCTGGTTTCATTCATGATTCATGGCCACAGAGCAGTTGGGCTAAAAAGGTGAAAATTCTCTGTCAAGTTTCGTTTTTTTTTGCGCTGTGCAACGTTTACCGATCTTGGGGAGCGGACTTAAAGCGCATTGACCCGCAACTTTAGGTCATTGCAACTTTATTTCCCACCTCAAAAACAGGGATCACCGCGGTTTGCAGCAGAACCCTGCGGTTTTATTCCCAGCGGTAGTGAGATAAATGATTTTCACTTCTTTGCTTTAGCTGCTCTATGTTTGTGCTTCTGTTTGATCTAAACTATTAAACGTATTGCATGCTTTTATCATACAAAAATTAGACTAGACAAAATTCAAGGATATTCACATTTTTAACCAAGCATTGTAAACATATAGGCAAAAGCTAGCTAGCTAGAAAAACAAGAACAAAATCAAAATTTCAACTTAACGGGGGAAATGCAAAAACTATGTTTTTGGTTTTAAATGAGGTTAGGTTGTTGCGGCAGTATCAACATTATTTTTATTATTAGGCACAACAAACGGGCTGCGAACAATTTGAACAATATAAATTTAAATTTGGACTTATAACGTACTTTTCACCCTGCTCGGCACGCTCTTCGGCACGTTCCAAATCAGCTTCAACCATGGCCAATTTACGGGCAACCTTTTCTCATACATTCATATAACATATCGATTCATTGATTGATTGTTGATTGATTGATATAATACAAGGAACGTCGGGTATACAGGAGAACATATAGAAAATGTATTAAACTTCATGTTTTTTACAAAGATTTTTTTTAGTGAAATAACGTAAAAGCATTAGATAATGTTCTTTATTAATTGTTAATGCAATTTGTAATGTACTTTGTATGATATTGTATTGGTGCCTTAGGATATTTTAGTACTAACAACACAACATGTGTAGATTTTAAATGTGTTTTTCAGATGTTCATCCCATAAAACTTGTGCTTATTGTGTGTGTGTCTTTGATGTCCTCCATAACTATACTATTGTTCTTCCATATGTCGCATAAAATAACCAGTTAGCGGTTGCTTCAATTTGTGACTTTCAAAATTGTTGTACATTTTATTTTTGAATAAATATATTTTCATATTAACCCAAACTCTTGACGGCAATTAAGTCGCGTCCAATAAACACACGTTTTTTAATTTAATTTTAACCTTAAATGCTTTGTCTCTGCAATCATAAGTTAACCAACGGAAATAATGATTTTAAATTAAACAAAACCATGTTTAAGTCTTTACAGAAACTATCCACCGACTGCAAACTTCCTTTTGTCATAACTGCTTATACAGCAACTTTTATCTTTTGTTCAGAAACCAGTTACCTAAAAGATTCTGAATTTTATTCCCTCCGCATGGAAATCACTTTGACCCATGTTGGGGTTGAAGCCTATTGATTATAATTATCTTGCTGCCCAAAATTAATTTTAATTTCCGCTGTTTTGAATGTTAACATAACTTGGCCTGCTGAAAAGATCCCGATGAATCATGACAGACAATGCACCGAGCATGGCCTGGTGACTAAAGTGTCGTCAGATCTTTTAGGTGGAAAAGATAACGAATGCAGATGGAAATACGTATGCTCCACGCACATTTTTTGCCACTGACTCAGACCACTTTCCATCGGCCTACATCTGAGGGTCAAGTGATCCCCCCTGCTTGATTCATCATCGATCGTTTTGGCAACTGAGTTTTTAGCCGCTTATGTCATGGCCCACGATTTAAGCTGCGAGCGTACGAAATCTACTCGAACAAACAGTATCCCCATTCGGGGAGCGGCCTTTTCTTATCGACACCAGTAAAACAAACTCTTTTTCCCTCTCTGTCCAGTTATTGGTTCCATTTTGTACTTTCATACTTTTGTATTTTTTCATGCAATCGCTGCCTTTGCCTAAGTTTCTGCGAAAAGATAAGAAAGCAAGGGCAAAAAAATACTAAAGAAGGGGAGCTTATCTGCCAATGCAGGTTATCAGTTGGTTTATTTCTTCGTTCTGATTGATGCGAAAAACACGTCGGTATTCAGGGCCGTCTTTAGTAGGTTAGGCTAACTTTACTAATAAGGAAAGTCGAGATCTTTTACCAGCCAGCTAGCTAACATGATGTTTTTTATTTTAAAGGCTCAGCTGGTTAGCACTTGTTTCAATCTTTAGCTTTGGAATTTATATAAAAATTTCAAGATTTTCAGGCATACATATTTAATGCCATTCCTTTGTAGACTTCTAAATGTTGGTAATAACATTCAATATCTCAAAAAAAAAAAAGAATACCAGAATATCAAATGAAGATTCTTTCTTATTATCAGCATACTCATCTTCAACATAGTTATTTGCATAGTCCTACAAAATTGCCTTAACAAAAAGTTTTTCCACCCTCATAATCCTTTAAAAATCAAATCAATCCGACTTTCAATCCGACCTACAATGTACAACAATTATAAGTAACCAAATATCTGCTCCCTTTAATTGGTCAATAATTTCAAGTAAGTGTTATGCTGCAATTATATATTTATATATTTCGTTTGTATATAATATGTTATATTAACATTAATTTGCAAAAGTATTAATCCAAAATAAGACATTTCCTTGGGGTATTTATAATTTTAAGGTGTGTTTCTTTATGCATATATAAGGTGAGTATAAATTACATTTTCTTTGCAAATACGCAAATCGAATGGAAATAAACAAACAAATTCAAAAAATCAATTTAGTAGCGATATGCTTTTCAAGCCTTTTCACATGGAAGAGCATTGAGTACATTTAGTAGAGTACTTGTGGACATCCAAAGACCGCTTAACATTTACTTTACATAATTCTATTGGTATTTTACAAATTAAAAGACACACAAGGGAGTTATTTCGGCCTTTGCTAGGGCCTTCTCCATTCTCTGGGGGGATTTGTTCACAAGTTACAATCAAAATTTCATTGGATTGGATTAGCATTGTATGTACATCGACTAATACACCATTGTCATCATCTATACACGTATATATATTGCATATTGTCAGGCAGGCTGGCTGTGCATGATCTAGTTCTAGATCTAAGCTTAATCTGCCCTCAAGCATCATTCGTAATCATTGTGGTAAGCACAAGTTTTTCATCAACACTCTGGCTGATTCCTGTGCCAAGTTTGGGGTGCGAGGTACCCTCAATCAATCAATTGTATTCAATATCCGCTTGACAAAGGAACCAGATCAGGTATCGTTATTGGGATTATTATTGTGTTCGTGGCTTGTGGAGGACAAGGTGGAAGTCTCTTCACCAACAGCAGCAGATGCAATAGTTCTGGATGCGTTATTGTTGTTGGTGCCACCAATAGCGCTGGCATTACATAACTCTGATTTACTGATATTGATATTGATATTGTTACTGTTACTGTTGTTGTTATTGTTGCTTAGCTTAGTAGAAGACAAATTGGTTTTTAGCTGCACCTCATCGTATTTCTTGTCAGCCTCCTCAGCAAGGAAACGCGCTTCCTTCAGCTGATTCTCAAGAGCGTCCATGCGTTCTTCATCGGCAAGGGCGCGGTTCTCAAGAATCTTGCGAGCACTATATCATATATAGTGTGTGTATATATAGACCATAGGTTGCGACGACCATGCCCATAGAAGACAGTGACCAAGTGGTTAGCGATGATTTGCCGTTCCCCAGCGGAATTGCAGTTGGTACAGCCGAAAAGGTTTCATGTGAATCATTCGACGCCATCGTCCACATCGTTGAGTGTTCAGTGTTGTTGTTGATGTTGTTGCAATTGTTATGACAAACAGATGTTTTACACAAACATTCACAGATAGAGATATACATTTTTGGTTTGTGAATATTGAAGTTTGATTGTTGTTGTCGTGGTTGTTGTTGTAAAAAGAGACAGAAATTTGTTGTTGCCAGTTAAGTTAACAATTCGGATTTTTTCTACTTAATTAACAAGTATTTTACAGGGGGGAAAGGAGACTAGAGGAGACGAAAAGGGATAAGCAAGAAGCTTAAACAATGTTTGGCTAAATAAAAGCGGCTTTGAATTGTACATAACCAATTTAGAAGCATCAATTTTAAATGGTATTTAAGCCAACAAACCTGTCTAGACTTCATCTAGACCAAGAATCAAACACTTTTTAAGCTTCGTCTCATTACAATCATTTTGGGATCTTTTGTTCTTTTTTTAGAAATAATTGTTGGACAGCCATTTGACTAATTGACTACCATAAGCTTATGTAGGACATGCTTTCCTATACATAATTTTACAATATTTTTTACAAGAATTTAGAGCATCCACGGCGTTCCAGTTCCAACGGCGGGTCGACATCATGGCAAACTAAATGCTGTTTACAGAAATTCTTACAAACTAACTTAAATACATCATCATTATAAAAGTGACCATTATTATTGTCGTTGGTTATTTATAAGTTTAAAAAAGAGAGCGCAGATAAATAGACCCAAAACCTAATTAGTAACGCAAATGTTGACCAAGTGAACCTAACCTCAAGGGGAACAACCTAATAACCCTAGTGCCCTAAAGCGGAGACCAATTTCCGCAAATAAATATATAGACTGTACCTCTTCGTATTTCTTATCGGCTTCTTCTGCAATTAATTTTGCTTGTGCTAATTGGTTCTCCAAAAGAGCTACTTTGTCATCTTCCATATTTGTGCGATTCTCAAGCGCTTTTCGTATCCTGAATTTGTTGCAGGAATGCGAAATGATATACAGATACGGTTAAGGTTATTATATATAATTGTAACTCGAACTAAGATAATTCTGTAATAATTGCTGTAAACTTAAAGAATATTTTACATATTGGGGTACAGTGGGGGGTATAGATTGGGTAATAATGGGACATGGACATAAGGTGGAAACATGGTACTAACCGTTCGCTCTCATCGGCGGCCTGAGAGGCTTCCGACAGCTTGGCTGTGGCGGAGCCCAGACGCTCCTCAGAGCGCTCCAAGTCTTCTTCGAGCAACTGGATGCGACGGTTCAGAGCGGCAACCTCGGATTCGGCCTATAAGATAAACGTTCGATGGTCGAAAGAACCAGATATAGCATATCCATTTGCTTAAACTTAACGATATTAACTTATTGTTTAAATTACTTCTTACAGAGCTAAACTTAATGATTTTTAGGCAAAAAATACTCATAAATAATTGCTACTTTTGGTTTATGAAACGTTTGCATCTTTTGGTTTCGCAACTTCTTGTAAATTTGCTACTATTGTTTGGTAAACACCGCTGCCTGTGCGCTCTCTTTAACCCCCTTTACAGTACTTATTTTTGTACACCTAATTTGTTTTCTATTAAGTCGACCGTTGGTCCCATATTTTTTGTGGCTTCCACCTGTAAAGAAAACTTCCTTTTTCCACCTCGTTCTTGTTGTTGTCGAAGCAAGGTCAAACAAACCCCCAAGCCCCCATAAAGTAAGCAACAGAAAAGTTGGCGTGTTATTTCTGCCAAGTGCAATCAATACTAGCCATCAAAGTTAAACAAAGGTTCATCAACACCGATACCTGATATGGCAACTAATTCCAAAAAGAAGCCAATACAAGGTGTTTGGCTCATGACGTCATCGACTCAGATTAACCGAGAGTTTTCCCACCGTCAAGAATCATGCAACCATTAAAAAACGGAAAATATTTGATGCTCTATAGCCTTATAGAGCCTGCACGTTAAACGATGAAAAGCGAAAACAGCGGGCTAAAAGCACACGCCCAAAAATGGTGAAAAAAGTATATAGAAATAGTCGAATCAAACTTTGAATCAAAAACGGCTGAAAAGCAATTGGACAAGGCAGTCCAGTGCCAGTTCCAAGTTCCATGTCCATGTCCAAAACCATGTCCAATGACTGATATGGTGCCGGGGTATAGAGATAGAGATAGAGCTACTGATATGTACATGGAATGACTAACTGAGCAACTGAACAACTGACCAACTGACGACGCCTAGAACCAAATGAACGATGTGAGTGCGGGTCGTAAAAGTATCGTGTGATTATGAATTGGAACCAACCGTGTGGCTTACGTCATCGTACGAAATATACACACACACATGTTCAGCGATAAAAAGCATTTCGAATTGGGGGAGCAGGCACCACAGCTTTCCAAACACGAAAGTCACACAACAAAACCGCCGATAAAGCCCAAGAGCCAGCAACAAAGAAAAATGCCAAAAAATAAAATAAAACCTTACAAGAAAAGGCGAAGTTTCAATACCCTTGCAGATATCATCAAAATTGACTTCTCCGTTCTTCGTATGTCTATATTTATAATAAACATACAAAAAATACCATTTTGCTGTTTTAAAATATTTTTTTCCAATAACAACCAAGTTATTATTGTTCCTATGGCAACTAAGGGACATTGTAACTCTAACAAAAACTAAAATAAAATTTAAAATTAATGGGATTGTAGTCCGACTGATAAGTATGATGTTAAACAAAACCCTTTTAAAGATGATGTTGTTTCCGAACATAAATACTTATAGGACGTTTGAAAACTTTACTTTCATCTGACCAAACTGGTAATATCCCCTTCAAGGGTATTTTAAAATAAAACAACAATTACGAAGAGCAAAGCTAAGAAGTTGAAGAGTGAATTCCAGTTGGTTTTCGTTTTGTAGCGGGAGTCTCTTCGCTGGCTCTTTTTTCGAACTCATTAACAAAACGTATTGAAGATTAAACGCTTTATTAACAGGCCACAAAACGAAGAGGGGAAGGGTAAAAACCAGTGGGCAAAGAAAAGCGGCGACAGAACACGTTTCAAAGATAGAGGGAGATGGAGACAGTCGCCGAATGTGGCCCCCAATTGTTGTGGATTGTATAAAAAATGACCGGCAAAATGCAAAAAAAAAATGTAAATGCCGAAAGACACTTTCCATAAAATCCAATGCAAACTGTGGCCGAGAAATTGTTGACGGCTTAGTCACACACACCTTGAAATTTACGTGTTTTTCGTTTTTCCTTCACTTTTGTTTTATTGCCCTGGCAACCGAAAAACAACAACAATAAAGACTTATTGGAGCGGTACGTAGGGCGTGTTTTTATTGTGATGATGCATTTTTAATTATGAACCGAAAAATAAGCCATGAAAATGTAAAACACTGTTTTAAAGACGATGCTCTCAAGCATAAAATATTTTTTCTAATTCCGGTGAGAAGGGTAAGGGTGAAGCGATGGCGTCATATGCTGTAATCTCCGAATTACGAAACTGGCAAGAGGCAAAGCACACAAATCAAAACCAATTTGTCACAATGCGCGCATTGAAATTATCAACGTTCAATTGCAGGAAGGGAAAATGGTGGAAAAAGGGGGAAAACGCGCCAGAGTGACATTGAAAGCATTGTATTTTATACAGAATAAAGCAAATTATGTTTTGTTTTAGTTTTTTTTTTTTGTCGTTTTAAAGGGGGAAGCGAAACGTCAATCACTTGTTGGCAGCAGGGAAATAGTCAACGAGGGAGAAAAATCAGGCTTTAGAATCTTTTCAAATTGAAAATCAATTTGAAATCAGAACAGAAAGTTACAGTGGAACTCGCACAAACTAAGTGTCAAATATGTTGATATAATTTTGTATCTTTTTTTTTTAATGAAATACCCATGAGCCAAGAAGTTCTAGTTATGGAGCTAAGACTGTATTCGAAAATCTGCTCCCTCAGCAATGACGTCATACACACAAACAAAAAGGAGCCCCTCGCACTCAATTGTCTAATTAGAATTGAATTAGGAACATGACAGAGCCAACGGGCCAAAGCTGGAAAGGAATTAAGAGAATTAAACCACTTATTGATGGCCGTGGCGTAAAAATCATAATTAATCGAATTTAGAACACCGCAAGCTAAACGATGTGGCTTCTTCGCTGGACTTAAAGCCGGTTTTTGTCGCTGAGAAAGCAGAAAGCTAGAAGAAAGACCAACCGAATCGCTCAATTTACAAAAGATTTCTTTCTCCTTTTTGGCCTTATGTTCATGCGAGTGTGTGTGTGTCTTATGCTAATGTTTCTGTGTGTGCTGTGAAGCGGGAGATAACACACACAATTCGAAAGGTGAATGAATTCGGTCAGCGATAAGAACAGTTAGCCCAAAATCTAAGGGGAGCCAGATACACCCTGTATCTGAACCCGAAAATTCATCACGAAAAGAACAAGAGCGAGACCTGGACTGGAAAAACCCCTGAAGAGTAAAAAACAACAGCTAAGAGAAGAACAAGCCAGAGCGAGCGCTCAGCGACCACTTGTGTTGTCCCGCTCCCACACACGCACACACAGGGCAAAGAAAACGCTGGCAGAGGGGGCGAAAGAAATGCTGGACTATCTTTTTTTTCATTAAGTTAGGACTTATGCAAAATCGTTTGCCCAAACCAAAGGTAGCAAATTTATGGGAATCCACATCTATTGGGCTTACTTCTTCGCGGCGCACCACCTCCAATTGCAGGCGCTTGTGGAACTCTTCGCACTCGTCTTTGTACTTCTCCATCTCCTCTTTGGTCTGGCGCATCTTCTTCTTCAGCACGTCCAAGAGAGTGCCTTGTGGAATGCTGGTCGTCATTTTTGTGGTTTTTTTTTCTTTTACGGCAGAGAGGTTGTGGGTGTTTTAGCCGACAAAGTGTTGGGTACTTGAGCTCGTTTTTTACTGAAGAAGCACTCTGCCTTTACGGACAATTTCTCTGCGCACACCAAATTTAATTTACAATTTGGAATTTCGAGGAACGGAACACACACACACGAACGGACTGGAGACACACACACGCACACAGTGAACCACCGGTTTTTCCTTTGCTTTTACTGCTTTTTCCCTGACTTGGGCTTGACTTTAACGGCAGGGTTTGGTTTCAAAACTCGCAAGGGAACACTTTCGAGAGGAATAATCAGCGTTTAATTATTTAATTTTGGCTGTTTGGTGGCAAAAACACACGGAGAGAAAACGACGACGCGACTGCGACGAGTACGAAACTGGAAATGATTCCAGAGTACGAAACTGGAACCGTCAGTCGAAGCGACGGTGGTGGTTTGTGCGAGCGGGACAACTACTGCTGGCTGCACTGCCTTCCAGTCTGTCTGCCTCGCCTAAAACGGTGCGCCAGTGTGTGTTTGCGGCTGGAAAACCTGTTAAAAGCCGCTAAAATTCTGTCCATGTCGACACTGTTGTTGTTTTGGCATTAATTAGTGAAGAAATATTTTGGATTTTTGTCATTTCCAGGCAAATAATATTATGCAAAAATCGGACATGTAAAATGGCCAAAGATGAGTAAGCAGGTAGGGTGCTTTCCAGGTGTGTGTGTGTGTGTGTGCCAACGCAACGAACCTTCCACCTCTCCTACAACTTCAACTAATTGCCTCTACTACGGAAAACGGAAAACACAATGCCGGTGCTTTATCACGCTTATCAGCAAACAACGTAAGCGCAACGTAATGACTAATCGGGATGTTAAGCGCTCTTTTCGAAGTGCTCAACCACCTGTAGCAATTGGCTAAATTTCCCCGACTTCCCGGCGATGGCGTAATTGTTTTGATAATGCAAACAATGAGCGCTTGTCCATTTTTAGCCGGGCGACATTGAAGAGAAATTAAAAGTAAATAAAAGGGGAAGGTCGCCGAGAATCGGCGTTTAATAATTAATTTGTTAGCCAATTTTGGCAAATCGAGCTTGACTGCCCCGCATGTTTTATGCTTTGGCCAAATAAGGCCGTATTTTCCTTTTAGTTTTTCAAACTGTTGCCTTTTTCAGCAGAGTTGAGAAAAAAAAAGTAGAAACAACACTAATACCATTTTGCGGTCTTATCGGACGCTCTCTTTCAGCCACCCACACAGCGGCAGGCGAAAGAGGGGGAGAGCAACAGGTGGCCGGCGAGTACCGTTAGGCATTCCAGCAATTGCGCAACTAATTAAACAATTGCCTACAATTAAGTTAAAATATTTGCCCAAATTAATGGAATACTTTTGCAAGGGGAATGGCAAAAAATCCAACACAAAATATTTTGGAGAAAAAAATCGAACTTTAAATTGTATGCTTTGTAAAATTCAAATATTTCCTCAAGAACAAATTTTAAATGGTCTCATGTTGTCAAAATAGAAATATGAATATGATCGACATCTCGAATTGTAAAGACGTTCAAACTAAACAATTATGAGCCAAATCGATCTTAAGCAATATGCCTAGTGAAAGGTGAGAGAAATAAGTGCTATGAATCAAGTGGGTCAAGATTTACAAAAGCAAAATCTTTAGCTAGGGCCAAAAGAAAACAAGCGGGTCGAACAAAGACCCTGAGGCCAGCCGAGGGTTAAGGCACAACCAGAAAATCGCGTAAAGACGAAGACGACGACGTAATCGCTTTGCAATGCGAACAAAAAATGCCGATGACAAGAACAAATTGGAGCAATGCTGAACCTAACCAAACTTTGGAGACCCCTTTCAGCAAAGAACAACAAGAACGAGGTGGCTTCTCCGCTTGATGGGTAAAATACAGAAGATTTAGAAAGGTCATTAGTAGGGAAATTGCAAGAAACTCCAAGACTCCACTAATTACCCTTTTCAGTTGTGTGTTCATGATGTTGTGCAGCTCGTTCCGAATGATGTTGAACTTCATCATGGTGTCCGAACTGAAGATGGACTTGCCAAATGCCAGTCCCGGATAATCCGCACAGCGTCTCTTGTTCCGGCTGGCCTCCCGTTCCGCCACAATTTCGGCCGCCTCGCTGGTGCAACGTAGCTTAGACCACTCCGCCGCCTGGTTGTCGTCGTCATCCGCTAGGGCGATGCCCTCGTCGATGGCCCCGGCACTGAGATCGGTGGCCAGGCTGTCGCTGCTCAGCTCCATGGGATTGGAACGCTTGCTGCGCTCCTTTTTGCCAGATGACTTCTTTTTGCGGTCGGATTTCTCGGACTTCTCGGACTTCTCCGACTTTTCACCCTTCTCCCGCTTCTTTTTCTTGCTCTTGGAGGTGGTTGTGACTGCCGGAGGAACTGCTCCTTCTCCGGTTGAAGCTGCTGGCGGGTTGCTGGCAACCTCGTCTTGCACACTGCTCTCGTCCGTGGGCGTGGGACTGTTGCTGCCCAGGGAATTCGTTACCGATTCGCTGAGGGGCAGGCTCAAAGTGTTTCTGCTAGGCGGCAGCACCTCCTCCGGCTGCTGTTGCTCTTCGTCGGGCTGCGTCTCACCCCTGAGATTGGAGAGAGCACTCTTGGAGTCGCCGCGGTAGAGGGCGGCTAGTATCTCCTGGACATTGGGCACATTGGGCCGGCGGGTGCCCGAGAAACGCGGATGATGCTGGTGGCCACGTCGCTTTAGCGAGGCGGGAACTAGGCTGGCATTGCTGGCTGTATGGCTGCCAGTGCCACTGGTGCTGGAGTCGTCGTGATCCATGTCCGAATCGCTCCAGAAGTCGCTGGCCGGCGAGGAGCCCCTACTGCTCCCCTGGAGGGTCTCGAACCTTTCGTAGAGCTGGGCTAGATACAGCTCAGCCTCCTCATCGCAGTAGTAGAGCAGGTCGTCCAGCAGGTTCAGCTGCTCCTCGATGGAACACCAGCGGGAAGAGAGGCCCGAAGATTCCGATTGCGGCCTGCGGTTGCGAGTGTTCCTGTTGGCGGCTGACTTTCTTTGGTGATGGTGCTGCTTCTGCTTTTCTCTCGCCTTATCACTTTTCAACAATTGTTTCTGCTTCTGTTTCGGTTTGGCAACTGTTTTGCCAGTCTGCAACAGCACTTGTGTTTTTTCTGAAATGTTAAATTTGGTTTTTCTTCGATTGGCAATGTTTGAGGCCAGTCAAACGCCGTTGGCCACTCTCTCCTATTGGTATTTTAGGTATATTTACAAACTTGATATCGCTGTATTTAATAAACCAAATTATTTACTTTGTTTTTGTGTAATTTGTGGCCAAAATTGCTACGTGAATTTCTACTGGAACCAGCTGTTGCTGGATTGGGCAGTGTGGCCAGTCTGAAATATACCGAAAATACCATTGACTGGAAGGGCTGGCAACGGTGCATTTCTTGTTCAGTATAAACAAAGCCAATAAGAATAATGGCACCGTTTCCACTCTTTCCAGCTGATCGAATTTATTTTTTGCTGCGCTGCCAACCACACGCGCACAATGTAAAGCTGGTTGCTAGAGCACTCGCAGCCATTTGTGCGCGTGTAGAAGACAATTTGAATTTCGCATTTTTGAAAATATAATTAAAGGTGAATTGTTTACGCTTTTGCTGCGGCGGTTTGTCCTGACTGGTCAGTAAATGCCGATGTGCTCGCTTAATTTGATGGGCCAACGATTGCCGGCGCGCCGCGTTGCCAACGAATTTGATTTTTGGCCCTTGTTGAACGGTAATGCTATTGCCGGTTAACGGTAGCACTGTTGTTGCTGGTGCGGCTTTTGTGGCATTTTTTTGCTTTTGTGGTTGTTGTTTCTTCACTTTTACTGCTGCTGTTATTGTTGTTGTTTGGGGCTTGTTGTTGTATCTCACTGTTTGCCATTCATATGCATTATTAACTTTTGCAGTTCCTATGTTTAATGTTTTCTCGTACATATTAATTATGCGCAATGCTGTTGTTGTTGTGTGATTTGGTGCGTGCTGTTTTATACTTTTGATTGTTGATTGCTGCGGCTTTCAAACAGCTGGGCTCATTGTACCGTTATTCGCTATTTATATTGATGATTTAATACAGATCTTTTGCGAATTTTCATCGGCGCGTGAAAATTGCAGAGAGAGAACTTCCGCAACAGTTTTTATGTAATTGCAAATCGCTAGAATTTCATTTAATAAGTTTTAAATGAAAGTAGGGATTTTTGTACAAGTTGATTGCTCCGAACCGAACGACTTTTAATTTAATTTAAGAGAATGTGATTTGTTGGTAATTAATTTAATTAATTTAGGTTTTCTTTGACGATTTATGAGCGGGCGGCTGCTGCTGGCTTTTCTGCTGCTTTTTCCTCGGCCCCTCGTTGTGTTGTGCTTGTGTTGTACTTGAATTTTGGGGCCATGCGCTCACCGTTAGATGAGAGTGGGGAGACTCACTCTCTCGCTCTTTCTCCGTTTCACTTCCTCGCTGCGTGTGGCACGGTGCGAGTGAGTCAGCAATATGGATCGCGAGGCACAGCCCTCCCACTCAAAGAGAGAGGGAGAGAGAGAGAGAGAGAGGGTGGTAGAAAGGAAATGTACTCTTCTAAGCAAATCATTTATTTTGCTCTCCAGCTCCTTTACTCTCCTTCTGTGTTCTCCCAAATAGACAGAATTTTCAGCATTTGATTCATTTAATTGCTTATCTTTTGTTTTTGCTCCATTTTCTGGTTATTAGTCAGACGTTGTCATATTTATTTTAAAGCCAAGGGTTGGGCCAAGTCAACATTACTCTTGATTATTTATGTATGTTGTCTGATAAGTATTTACTGTGTAGACCTCCCTAACGATAAGTTTTCCAAGCGTATTACCTGCGGAGACTTTTTTGAAACGCTGCCAAATGTCCTTGAAATACTTTCCCAAAATGTGGCAATCAACAGATGAATCGCAATTCGAATTCGAATTCTTTTTGGAAACACTGAGGCCCGCAACGAAAAACGAACGAAATTTCTAGGTGCAAAGCAAATGCAGAGAAGAAGAGAATTCAGTATGTGTTGTTTTTGCGAGAACATTTTTTTGGCAAACCAACAGACAAATTCAGTCGCGTTATTTGATATCATGCGCTGGCTATTTTCAAAGAATTTAAAAATAGCGCCACTCCGCAAGGCGTTGCCAACAGCACATACAGAAAAAGAGAGAGTGCGAGAGAGGATCTATTGCTGCGTGTCATTTGCTGACTGCTTTGTTTGAACTCAAAAAAGAAATTTATGATGTTTTATGGAATTTTAGAAAACATCCAAAATTAATGTCTACCCCAAACAATTTCTCACATTTCAAGCATGAAATTGGCGTTAAATTGCCGCTGCCCCATTTTCGGGAAGCTCACCCTCCGCCGGCTGTCATCGAAATTCTTTAAAATTGTCTGCTATAAATTTATGTGTATTTCTTGCCTGAATGCACTTCAAAAAATCGAGCAGAAGAATGAAAAATATATATCTATTTTTCTTAAGAACTAAAATGCCTTATTGTAAATTTTAGAGGAAATGGTGTTAGATTCAGGTCATCTGAGAAATTTGTCAGTTCTCACCAGTTCTGGCGGACTTCAGTTTCAAATGATTAATGGAATGTGTTCCTTGTGGCTAAAACGCTATTGTGGTAAGATTTGTTTTTTTCTGTATCTATTTCAATATTTGTCAAACTTAATTTTGAGTTGTTTGAAAATTGTTACGTTAAAAAACTTATTTCCAGCATAAGTATGAGATAAAATAAATAGAAAATTGGTTTGAAATGCTGAAAATATAGTTCTTGAGGTATAAAATGAATACAGATTGATCAAATCTGTCATATTTTAATGTTAAAAAAAAAAACAAATAGTTTTTAGAATTTTCAATATTAATACTTATAATCCTTTCCTTTATTGAGTGATTGAAATTTATTTTTGAATTTATCTTTCTTTTTAAACTTATGTTTTAAATTAACTACTTTAAAAATATAACGTAAATTTTAAAAAAAGTTTAGCCGGAATTGGATTTTTTTTTATTCTAGCTTAAGGCCGATTCTAAAATATTGAATATTTCGAAAGAAACTTACATTCTGCAGAGCCTTGTTCTTCTCCTCCAGCTTGCCGGTGACCAAGGTCAGGGCTTCCTGGGTCTGATCCAGCTCGTTCTCCACGGTCTGGATCTTCTTCTGCAGCTGGCGAGCCTCCTCCTCGGCCTACGGATTTAGATTTATAAAATGTAATTAAAAATCAAATCGTTACACGAAAATTGCATGTGTTAACAAGATTTTAAGGTGTTTGTGTGTAAGCCGGTAATTATGCTTTTTGTTACAGTAAATGTTTTGTTGTGCGCAGTTGGGTTTATAGTGGGTGGTGGTTACACAAAAAAAAAATTAGACACTTTGAAAACTGATAGCTCAAATAAATAAATAAAATAATTAATTTGTTTTCCTATGACGTGGTTCAATAACAATTTAATATTTTATTGTACACTGATTATATACCAATACTCATTTCACACAACATTTTTAATATATATTTTGAGTTGGCATATGTATTAAACCTATAAGTATTTGTAATCTACCAAGTTGATCTTGAAATTTGAATAGGATTTTGAATGTAAATGTGAAATTGCGAACCTTTTTTTTCTGTGCACCGTTTGGGGGGGAAACAGGGTGGCTGACTTTGACTTACCTTCTCGGCGCGGGTGTTGGCATCGCGTGCCTCCTGCTCGCAGACGAGAGCGCGCTCCAGAGCTCCGTCCTTGTCGACTTTCATCGCTTGCATCTTCTTCTTGATGGCATCCATGTTTGTTTTGTTTTGCTACTGCACTCGAAAGAAACTGAAACCGAAACGGAGATGGAGATGGAGATGAAGATTGCGATCAAAACTGTTGTTAAGTGCAGCCAATAAAACAATTAGCAAATTTATGCGATAACCATCAATCGCAATGGGTGTAGGAAAAACCAAACAAGGCTTGTGCGAAAGTGAAACTCTCTGGAAATTTGATTGCGTATTACAATCATTTCTACAATGATCAATTAATTTATATGAATTTATTTTTAACCAAATTTGATTGAAAAGTATTCCATTCAAAACTCAATTCTTAAGATACTTTCTGTAATAACCGATATCCTAACTAGATAATTAACCGTCTATCTTACATGTTTGTCAGGTCTTTTTCTATAAAACACATTACTAACAAAGTTTTACGTCTTCATCTTCAAAGGCTTATTCAATAAACTACTGGACCTATATATTTTAATTATTCAAATCATTTACATCACTTTTCTTAAAAAAAACTTGTTATAGATAAAGTATTAAAGCCTGGCTTATCATTAAGCTATTAGTGGAAGAAAGACTTTTATCCTCCATTTCAAGATAGAGATACTCATCCAATGATTTCGAATAATTGTTACCCTTATTTGGTTGAAAGGTGGCAAGACAATAAATTATTCGGCCTGGCCAAAAACCGCGTTACTCAAGGTTTCATTTCAAAGCCAGACGCATTGTTTAAGCTCATCCAACTGATAAATTGAGAATTTAATATTTCGCTGGCGTTTCTTCACGACTTTTATTGCCCGATTCTTTCTTTGGTGTTTGTTTTTCGAGAGTGTTTTCTCATCTCACAGTAAATCATTAAAACGAGAATACCTGCCTTTTTCTTCTTGGAGAAGACTACGAACCGAAAAAGTGTGCTTTTAGTTATGCTGATCACATCGGCTCGCTTTGAATTGTAGAGCCATGCGAAGCTGGGGGAAAAGACAGGGGCCATTCCTAAATAGAGAGTTCTGTCGCCAAACACAAATTGTGTCACTAGATTGGGATAATTTGAATCTGGGCCAAAAGATCGGTGTACACATTTATTTATATTTATACAAATGTGGTAAAAATTTGAAAAACCTACATATGTTTGTGTTATGTGTTTGAGAGCTAAAGTTTCTTCTTTAAAACTGAAATTTAGATGAGTTTCCATTTTGTAATTAAAAAACACACAATGAATCATCTTCTCAGCTGCTGTGGACTACTCCCTCAACTTTCTGACTCAATGCTAACGCAGCTGGAGGGTTTGGCCCTTCCTTAAGTCCATCTCTCCCCCTTTCCTCCTGGCAAAATGAGACCCACTTGACCAACATTTGTCATGGCTCGAACGAAAAGCAACCACCGGCTAATTGACATCGACTTTCGCATCGTGAAATTTTAATTCTTTATTACGGCTCGTCGCTGTCACTTGTTGTTCTCCTGCCTTAAACATGCATTTATTTTTAAAAACTCTGTTTACATTCCTGAGCCTGATCCGCACAAGAGAAGTGGCAATGGCAATGCAAAACAACCGCAAATCGAAAAGCCAAAAAGTTGAATTTTAATGAAATCGCAATCGAGGCAAATTTTTTGTTCGCCGGAATATATATAAATATCTGCATGTGTATGGGCCATAAGTCGATTAAGGTGACACATTGAGTTATGTTTGTGCTGATTCAGCACAAAAATTCGCATGACATCTTAAACTTTTGGCAATGACATAAATTAAAAAAAAAAATGGGCCTAAATCAACGATGCCTCCAAAGTTCTTGATTATATTGACTTTATGAAATACTTACTTTCCTAGCACTGTGTTACAAAATTCTAAAGCTCAATTATTTGGATTTTTGCGGATGTTCAATGGTTAAGTACTTAATTATTTACTGCATATAATTTTTCATACAGATATATTATATATATTTATATCTAAAACCACCAAAAGTGTGTTGCTACTTTTATGTACTTGTACTCTGCAAATGTTGTGTATTCTCCTGTCTAGCTCCAGACAGATTCCAGATATTTTCCAGTTATGTTTCGGCCTCTAACGTGTACAGAAAATTTTCCAACTTTTCTAAGAAAAAATACGATTTTCTCTATACAGAATACATAACTTTCTATAAATAGATTTGGATACACATACACTGGTTTATATAGGTCTAACATATATAGATTATTTAGCTTAGTGCCTAAGGCAACACTTAAAGTTTTCTGACTCTTTTCTCCTCTCTTTTTCAGTGTTTTATATCTCTAGCACGCACAGAAAGTATCTAAAAATAGTCAGACTGAGGCATCTGTTGAGTATCTTGCCTCCCCACGGATATTACTTAATACTAAGTTGGGAAACACTAAGAGATGGGAGCTTTCTAGGAAATTCTTGGTGAATTTCGCCTA